TTTGCCTTTCCAGACCGTGTGAAGGTTCTCTACAGGAGCAAAGCCGTTGGCTATGCCTGGCCTGATCCGTTTTCCATGGCAGACTCCAGCCCTTGGGTCACTATTACCCTAGGTGATGGCAGCACCCTCCAGACCAAACTGTTGGTAGTTGAAGATTCTTCCTTTGTCAGGGGTCTTGCATGTCTATGCCTTCCATCCTAGAGTCCGTATTTTCAGATGGAAACCATGGGTTGACTTCAGGGTATTGTTTATAGAATCACCAGCCTCTGTTCAAGGCAGCCTGAGCTAAGATGGTCTCCCACCTCCTGGATGGGAAGCAACCTCATGGGCCAGCTTTGGATAGGCTAGCAGGCCTCCCAGGAGAGGACGGAACAGGAGTGCTGGAAACTCAGGCCGTGTTCTTTTATGTCCCAGAAGTCCCTGTGCCATTCATCTCCTCGTGGCTCTCATTTTCTCATTTCTCTGTCTCTGCTCACCAGCTGCTTCTTTTCAACTCCAGTGCCCACTCTGTGCCTGACTTTTCTAGTTCATGGATCCTGAGACTCTGGTTAATTATGGCTGTTGCTGGCACCTCTTGCTTCAGATAGCCACTTTGGCCCCATTAGCTCAGGCTGAGATCCCGTTTTGTAGGGCTGTCCCTGTAGGGGTGTGAGGGGGACAGGCCTGACAGTTTCCCACTCCAGTTGGGAGTAGATGAAGGGGCAGAGAAACTGGAGCAGTTTGGTTTTGAAGTGGTTGTAAGACTTGGCCTCTTACTTATGTCCATGCAGATTGGTGCTGATGGGCACAACTCAGGAGTCAGGCAAGCTGCTGGGATCCAGAATGTCAGCTGGACCTATGACCAGTCTGCTGTGGTGGCCACTCTGCACTTATCGGAGGTGAGCCCTGGAGTCGCCATCTGAGGACCTTGTCCTGAGCACTCAGTAGCCCTTACAAGACCTTTCCTTTTATTCTAGGCCACAGAAAACAACGTAGCCTGGCAGAGATTTCTCCCCTCTGGGCCTATTGCTTTGCTTCCGGTAAGAGAGCCTCTGGCCAGTTAGCTCAAAGGTAGCCAGCCACAGACTTTGGAACCTCACTGTCCTTCAGCCTGGTGTAAAGGGACTGTGTGCGGTCATGCATTGCTTCCTTTATCTCAGTTTCCTTTATGCTTGAAAATGCCAAAGTTCAGAAGAGGCAGGTTTTTATTGCTCTTGGTTTTTTAGAGAGCTGTGCCCCAGGCTGGCCTAACACTCATCCTGCTGTATGCTATGATTGCAGGCATGTGCCACCACACCAGGCTGATGCTCTTCTTTTGATATAGCTCTCAGATACCTTGAGTTCCTTGGTTTGGTCCACATCCCATGACCATGCAGCAGAGCTGGTCAGCATGGATGAGGAAGAGTTTGTGGATGCCATCAACTCTGCCTTTGTGAGTATCACCTGCCCAGCTACGGTGTAATGAGGAAAAAGGAGTGATCATCAGCTTCCCCTTAGCGAGTCCAGTCTTGGGTTTAGATTCAGTGAGGGCAGGCATCCAGGGGAATGCCCAACAGTGGAAGCTGTGGGCTGCTGTGCCGCTGAAAGGCCTGCCACGGCTGTGCGGTCTGCATCCCTGGGCAGCCAAGCAGCTCTGGAGTCGTGCCTCCTGAGTGCTGGCTCTGGAGACACTGTCAGGAACGTGTGCAGAGGGTGACCGGGAAGAGAGGCTTCAGAGCCAGTCTGTGCTCACCTGAGCTCAGGCAGGCCAGCACAGGAGAGCTGCACTGCAGCTAGCTGGAGGCTAGTGCTGGGGACTAGTGAAGGTGAAGTTCAGTCCTAGTCAGGGGCCAACTGGAAATACTTGGGCATAAATAAAACCTTCAGGGAATGCTGGGAAAGAGAGCTTTGCATGTGTTTTAAGGGGTTTGTCTCTCATGAACAAGACCAGTTTAGGCATGTTAGGTAGCATTACCCTTAGCTTTGGTTATAAAAGGGGTTCTTTGGGTTTTTAATTGTTTACTAGTCACTAATCAAATTTCCCCGTTTGGGGGCTGATGGTATACAGTGGAGTGATGCTAACCACACAGACTTCGTCGACTCTGCCAGCACCATGTTGAACTACGTTGTCTCCCTCCTGAAGCCCACCAAGGTCTCAGCTCGTCAGTTGCCCCCAAGTATAGCCAAGGTGGATGCTAAAAGCAGAACCCTCTTTCCTCTGGGGCTGGGGCATGCTGCTGAGTACGTCCGGCCTCGGGTGGCACTCATTGGGTAAGACTATGGTGGAGCAGGCCTCTCCTTTCTGTGTTGCTGGAGGCCACACCTGAACACTGCTTTATTCTTAGTGATGCAGCCCACAGAGTCCATCCACTTGCAGGACAGGGTGTCAACATGGGCTTCGGCGATATTTCCAGCTTGCTTCGTCATCTCAGTACAGCGGCCTTCAATGGGAAGGACTTAGGTAAGGATTCAGGTTCCCTGGCATCATGTAAAGGTCAGGGCTGCCAAACTGCCCTAGGAACAAGATGTGGTAGTGTCTACTGGGAGGAAGGCTTTGACCTTTCCTCCTCCTTCTGAACTCCAGGTTCCATGAGCCACCTCACAGGCTATGAAACAGACAGACAGCGTCATAATACTGCCCTTCTGGCTGCTACTGACCTATTGAAAAGGCTCTATTCCACCAGTGCCACGCCACTGGTGCTGCTCAGGACATGGGGCTTGCAGGCAACGAACGCACTGTCTCCTCTCAAAGTAAGTGGCCACTTAGAGCTCTCCAACGTTCTTCCTTACTGAGAAGGACTGCAGAAGTTCTAAAGGTCTTTGAGTTAATTTTCTTGCTTATAACATTTTTTATTGTAGTTATTTTTGAGATAGGATCTTAGTATGTAGCCCTGACTAGCCTGGGACTGGCTAGGTAGACCAGACTGTTTGAACTCATAGTGATCGTCTACTTATGCCTGCTCTGTGCTGGGATTAAAGGCATGTGTTGCCATGCCCACCACTGTACCTGCTCTACTTTCTCAGCTGGTTATGAATAAAAGTACCTGCTGGGTTTGGTGGTGCCTAGGCAATAACTGGAAACATGTAGGAAGGGCTTAAGAATACAGGGCTGAGGGCTGGAGAGAAGGCTCAGCGGTTAAAAGCACTGGCTGCTCTTCCAGAGGACCTGAGTTCAATCCCCAGCACCCACATGGTGGCTCACAGCCATCTGTAACTCCAGTCCTAAGGGATCAATGCCTTCTGGCCCAAGTGTACCAAGCTTGCATGTGGTGCGTAGACGTGTGTGTTGGCAAAACACCCATCCATCTATAAATAGATAGATTAACAAAGTGCTTGCTGCTCTTGCAAGCTCAGTCCCCAGCACCCATGTTGGATGGCTCACAGCATCCGACACCCTCCACCCTCTCTGGCCTCCTCGGGTGCCTGTGCTCATGTGTGCATGCACCACAGCAAACGTGGGAGGGAGGTCAGGAGTTAACCTCTCCCTCCACAGGGACTACAGTCATTGAACTCAGGCTGTCAGGCTGTGTGGCAAGTGCTTTCACCTGCGGAGCCCTTGCCAGATCTGTTCTTGGAGCTGAAAGAAAGCAGGGACTCCTGGGAGGAGGGTCTCCCTCAGTCACCTTGGCTGTCTCACCAGGAAGTCGCTGTCCTCTCACCTACAGTGACCAAGTCTCACTCGCCCCTTTCCTTTTCCTCCAGGATCAGATAATGGCCTTTGCCAGCAAGTGAGTGCTCCTCTCCTGGAGACCGTGTGGATGACAAAGAACATCTGCCCTGTGACCGTCATCTGCGTTTCCATGACAGTTTAATAGATTGACACTAGAACTTGTGTCTCTTTCCTTCTGCTTAATGGGTCTGTGGAGCCAAAACAGTGAGTGAGCTAAAAAAAAAAAAAAAAAGGAAAACTATTTGGTTGAAAGGAGCTTTTTATTACTAAATAAACAAATCACCGAGATGCTGTCTCCCTCACTTCACTTGGTAACAATCCTTTCTACACAGAATACTGTAATGCTGGTCAGAAATGTATACAATTACTTTGACAGAGTAAGATTAGAAATAGATTGTTGTTTTAAAATTGACACTGGCATGCCAATTAAATACAAATTGCTTTGACCAAGTACACTGGACTTGAGGGGGGAAGCAAAGATCAGTAACAGCCGGTCTTATTAACGCTGTAGGCTTTATCACAGTACCACATTTCAGTTTTGTTTACGACTCCTCTGTGATGTCATTCTTTGTTCATTCTGTTATTATAAATAATCAGTCTCACTGCACACACAGCTGCAGAGGACTCAGGAACACCCTTCCATGTGTGCTGGCCGGGGGCTAGCAAGGAGTGGGTTTGTTTGTTTGTTTTTAATAGTTTTTGTTTTTTTGGAGACAGGGTTTCTCTGTGTAGTTTTGGTGCCTGTCCTGGATCTCACTCTGTAGACCGGGCTGGCCTCGAACTCACAGAGATCCGCCTGGCTCTGCCTCCTGAGTGCTGGGTTTAAAGGCATGCGCCACTACTGCCCAGCCTAAGGAGTGGTTTATTACTTGGAGTTTGAAACACTTAACTGCACAGCACCAGAGAGGCCTCCAGAAGAGAGCTTTACCTGTGTTAGATAAGAACACTATACAGAGCATCTTGCTCAGAAGTCTTGTTTTGAAAAGATGAAATAAGGAAGTCTCCTTTTCAATTAAGCTAAAGCATTTTGGAATAGCTTTTGAAGGGATAAGACAGCTGTTGCAGCCGGGCGGTGGTGGCACACGCCTTTAATCCCAGCACTCGGGAGGCAGAGCCAGCGGATCTCTGTGAGTTCGAGGCCAGCCTGGGCTACCAAGTGAGTTCCAGGAAAGGCGCAAAGCTACACAGAGAAACCCTGTCTCAAAAAAAAAAAAAAAAAAAAAAAAGACAGCTGTTGCAACATGGCAGATTTTTTAACATGTGGATAACTTAGTACAAAGCAGTATGTCAGTAAACCCAGAAAATGTACCCAGAATAAAAGATAGCAGCTGCTGAGAAAAACTGATGGCCAAAGACTGTCAGGACAAGGGCACCTTTTGCAAAAAGGCAGCTTTAATAAGAATACTGACTCTCCAATATATGGGGGGGGGGGGCAGACATGAGAACTTTAAGGCACACTTTGCAAGGACATCTGTGAGTCAGATGTTCTTCATAGAATAGTGATAACACACACAATATCTACCACATACCAGACCACATCCCAGGTATTGAAAATATATTTTCACAGAGATGAGACTTGTCAGCAACATCAGAACACATAGGACCCCCTTCTTAAAAAAGGCCCTTGTTGCTGGGTGATGGTGGTACATGCCTTTAATCTCAGTACTTGGGGAGGTAGAGGTAGACAAATCTCTGAGTTTGAGGCCAGCCTGGTCTCCAGCCAGGGCTACACAGAGAAACACTTGTTTCAAACAAAAAGGCCCATGGCATTTTTTTTTTTTTTTCTGAGAAAAATTAAGACCCTCAAATTGCATTTAAAAGAACAAACTGGTAAGTCAACAGACTCTGGTCAAGATTAACAGGATCTATGCAGATAAATTTCTGAGTGAGAGAGTCCATCCTTGAATTCTGGCAATATCCAAGGTAACTGGAAGGTGTCTGTGGAACAGTACACACTCTACAGCTGGGGTGCCTGTGTCTGAGGCTTCAGACACCACCTGTGGTAGAAACACCGGGAACTCACCTGACAGGTGGTGCTATCTGCTTCCTTTATTTAGTGCTGGAGATTTAATCTAGGACCTGATGTGCTAAATACACTTGGCCACTGAAGTTTTTTTTTTTTTTTTTTTTAAATCTTACATAAACAGTGTTCTGCCTGCACTCCAGAAGAGGGCACCAGATCTCATTACAGGTGGTTGTGAGCCACCTTGTGGTTGCTGGGAATTGAACTCAGGACCTCTGGAAGAGCAGCCTCTTAACTTCTTAACCTCTGTTCTATCTCTCCAACCCCACTGAAATCTTCTAACCTCTCTCCCTTTTAAAACTTTTTGAGTGTCTTACTGAGTTGCCCACTGGCCTCAAATTTGCTACATAGCAATCCTCCTGCCTCAGCTCCAGCGTAGCTAGGATTAGAGGCCTGTGCTGTAAGGCCTGCTGTAGAGCTTACTCTTGAGGAATCAGCTCAGTTTCTCTCAACTGTGATGGCATTTAGTGGACTATGACTAGCTTAATACTTGTTTTAATAGACATGGTAAACAGTCTAGAAAGTATGCTGCATTTTTTTTTAAGGCATAAAACTAGTTATCGTCAAAGAGTCTGGAAGGCTCTGGAGTGAGAGACATAGGTGACTGAAGGAAAGGAGGTAGTGCTCAGCTAACAAAGTTGTAAACATCAGTGACATCCTAAGTGGAAAGGAGCTGCCCGAAAACACTTAACAGAGCTGGATGGAGACGCCTGCTAGGGAGACACTGAGTATGCATTCCATAGGAGATTTTATCTTTCTGATGTAGAAAATCTCGTTCATTATGTGTGAGCACTGTGGGATTGTGGGGTTTTGTTTTGGTTTTTTGTTTTTGATTTTTGGTTTTTTTGAGACAGAGTTTCTCTGTGTAGCCCTAGATGTCCTGGAACTCACTCTGTAGCCCAGGCTGACCTCAAACTCAGAGAGATCCTCCTGCCTCTGCCTCCCAAGTGCTGGGATCAAAGGCATGCGCCACCACCGCCCGGCGGCAAGCATTGTTTTTAAGAAGTGAAGGTGAACTTAGTAATAGAAGTCTGAGCCAGGCTCAGCATGGCATCCTATAGTCTCGATACTCGGGAGTCTAAGGTGAAAGGACCACTTGTGTCCAAGAAGCTCAAGGCTAAATTCAGCAAAAATGAAGCTCAGCCTTAAGACATGTTCTCAGTGTGAGAGTCTAAAGAAACTCTCCATTTAATCAAAACAATAAAACCCTAAAATTGAGGGGGTAGGGATACACATTTGCCTACATTTTTATATACAGCAGCTGGTAATACTTATTGACTCAATGTGATGGCTTCAAAAAGAAGGTTCCCCAGGGGGCTGCCATGGGGCCAGGCATATTCACATCCTTTGTGAAGAGTGGACAGGAGATGACTGAAAATGACAAGTTAGGGGAGATGGAAACGTCCCTGGAAAGAGAAGAGGAAGGAGGAAGGGTAAAGTGCTATGATGGAGGAGCCGAGCAGCAGAGGGGACGCCGCAAACCAAGCAGGAGGCAAGCCAATGGTGGTCACACAAGAAGTGACAGGATTTTGTGTTTGTTTGTTAAGACAGGCTTTCTCTGTGTAGCCCTGGCTGTCCTAGAACTCGCTCTGTAGACCAGGCTGGCCTCAAACTCAGAGATCTTCCTGCCTCTGCTTTCCAAGCACTATAATTAAAGGTGTGCGCCACCACCACCTGGTAAAAATTTTAAGATAATGACTTTATAATGTAGTAGAGCACCCATGCCTAGCATGCATGATGACCTGTGTTCAACCTCAACACACAGAGTGGCCTGAGAGAAAAACATGGTTCTCTAGAAATGTGAGTCCTTGTTCTGATATGGGCCAAAATAGCCAATCAAATCAAATGTTGGGTACCACTGGGAAGGATATGAAATCCTGAGCTAGACAATAAATTCAGAAAATAGCAGCTAAGTCAGTAAGGGCCCAGGCAGGGAAGCACTACTGTAAAAGTGGAGTGGTAACACATTGTGCTGAACACGCAGGAAGCCCTGGGTTCAGTCTCCAGCACTTCCCACACCCCAACCCCCAGGACAAATGAAAGCGATGGTAATCTTTAGACTCCAATAGTACACACACTAACTTCTAGCCATAGACCAAAACTAGGTAGGGTGCAGCTGTATTTCACAGAAATACAAGGATGCTAAGTTCAGGGCCATGTTTAATACCATAACAACCACACTGGCCTGGGAGGAGCGCTGGCACCGGATGTGCCCGCATCTCTAAGGCTGCGAGGTCGTAACCCCGAGTGGACCGAGGAGTAAAGGCAGGAAGCAGGCCACAGCCCTGCTCTGCAGCAGCTGTCTCTGGCGACCCGATGGCCCTCTTTCTAAGAGGACCTCCACCGTCTTCTAAGGTTTCCCATGAGAGGAGCATGATGGCTCACTGTAATCCCAAGACTCAGGAGACTGAGGCAGGAGAACTGATCCTTCAAGGCAACCTGGGTTACATAGTACCAGGCCAGCCTGAGCAACAGAGTATGATGCCTATCGAAAAATAAAATACCCAGGATGGCTCTAAGCTCTAAATCGGTTGGTTGATCTATTGTGCCATAGGATCACACAGATTCTTTTTTTTTTTTTGGTTTTTCGAGACAGGGTTTCTCTGTGTAGCTTTGCGCCTTTCCTGGAGCTCACTTGGTAGCCCAGGCTGGCCTCGAACTCACAGAGATCCGCCTGGCTCTGCCTCCCGAGTGCTGGGATTAAAGGCGTGCGCCACCAATGCCCGGCCACACAGATTCTAATATTAGTATCTTTCCCCCTTCTCTTTGAGTTACAGATGGGAAGCCATACCAGGTATTTCCCACCTCGGGTTTTAGGGTAGGGAGTGTAATAAGGGCAGGAAGAAGAAAAAAATACCAGTATTGATAGGTTATGGGACTTCAGTAAGTCAACTTCATTTAGCTTTTAAGCAAAAAACTAACACATTCAAAGGAATGAGGCACTCCAAGGGTTGAAATGAGATTTTTTTCCTTTGGTTCCCAAGGACCTGTCTCTGAACTCCCAATCTAACATGGAGTTCCAAACCTATTCTTCCCCCCCTTCCCCCCACAGGACTCTGTGACATATAAAAAACCTCAAAAGATTTACACTCTGGTGACAGCTGTACACCTGCCAAGTGGGTAGGGAGATGTTCACATTAGATGTGCAAAAATTAATTAAGCCCAAATCACTAGGCTCAAGGGGCAAGAGTCATCTATAAAATCCCCTCCCTCCTAATAAAGCCGGCTAATGGGTTTCAGTCCGGGCTTTCCACAGAGTAGCTCAGAAAATGCCTGAGTCCACTCCTTCCTGTAAAAACAAAGTTGTTCAGAAATGCAGGCTTCAGAGGACATGCTCAGCCTCAGCTGGAGATGCCCAGAGATTGCAGCAGGTGAAAGGTGGCCCCCAGGGCCCAGCCAGTCTCTATGTTGTTCACTTTCTTTGTGAGCTGTTGAAGAAGAAGAAATTTTCAACATAAACAAACATGGCCTTTGGACAGCGAATAGCTACAAAGAGCACTCCCGTGGCCAAGCCCTAACTGCCCCTCCATCCAGCACGCTCCTGCCTGAGTACCTTAGGCCTAGGAAGCAGTACTGGGCAGACAGTTTTAGAGAGATTCTGTGAGAAAAGGCTTCTGGATGCTCCTTAACCTGAGAAGGCAATGATAACATTCATGGCTGTGGTAGAAAGGGAGTTGGCAAGCGCCGGGGACCTATTTAGGATAGGAAAGCACATCTTCAGCTTCCTGAGTCTCTGTAAGCAGCTGTTCCTTAAGCACCAGTAACAATCAGCTGAGGCATTCGGCACCAGACTCTCTTGATGGCTCAGCCTTTACTGCTTTGGGCAGGACTTTAGATCTGGTCCCTCAATTATAGAAAAGGAGGTTAGTATTTATCAAATTGTTTTTGTAAGACTCCTTCCTCTCCTTCCTCGGTACATGCAGCCTCTGTTTCATCTGTAATAAACTATTGGTTGTAAAAATAGATCTTTTAAACAAGATTTTTCAGTTTTGTTTTGTTTTCTTAATTATGTGTGGATGCAAGAGTTCGTCTGTGGGTACATATACCCACGAGTGTAGTTGCCTGTGCAGGTCAGAGGTGTTAGATCTCTTGGAGTTGGAGTTGCAGGTAGTTGTGAGCCACCTGATTAGGTTCTCTGGAAGAGCAGTGTGGTAATTTGAATGTCATTGGCCCCCATAAGCTCATAAGGAGTGGCACTATTAGGAGGTGTGGCTTTGTTAGAGTGAGTGGCCTTGTTAGAGGAAGTGTGTCACTGTGGGAGGGGGTGTCACTGTGGGAGGTGGGCTTTGAGGTCTCATTTACACTCAAGCCACACCCAGTGTCCCAGACCACTTCCTGTTGCCTGTGGGTCAAGATGTAGAACTCTCAGCTCCTTTTCCAACACCATGTCTGCCTCCATGCTGCCTTGCTTCCCACCATGACGATAATGGACTAAACCTCTGAACTGTAAGCACGTCACCCAATTAAATGTTTTTGGTTATGAGTTGCCGTGGTCATGTTTCCTCACAGCAATAGAAACCCTAACTAAGATAAGCAGCAATATTCTTAACTTCCGAGACAAGCAGCAAACTTAACTTCTCTCCAGCCCTCTAAAACATACACTTTAAAAAAAAATTGTATATTTTATGCATATCAGTGTTTCAACTACAAGTATGTATGTGTACCATGCATGTACCTAGTACCCACAGAGATTAGAAGGCAGCATCAGATCCCCTGGAATTGTAGTTACAGGTGGTCGTGAGCCAACATGTGGGTCCTGGGAACCAACCCTGGATCCTCTGCAAGGGCAGCAAGTGCTCTTAACCACTGAGCCTCCTCTCCAGCCCCTCTAAAATATATCTTATGAATTTCATTTTCTTACTTCCTATACCTATGATTACAAATTATATTTACAAAGATGGTTAAAATGTTATCATGTCCTCAAGCTGCATACAGTCTATTAGAAGAGATTCAACTAAATATCCAGCAGACCTAGAATATACAGGATACATTACAGATGCTTGAGACACTGAGGAAGTCAGCCACTCAGTGTTAACATCATTGTGCAAATGAGACAGGGTAAGCCAGTGTTAGCAGGCACGTTTATCTGCCTCACAGCCTCTCTGAATAGACGTCTGTGAGGACCCCAGCTACGTTTTATCTTGTGCTCTCTTCAGCAAACTTCAGCTTAAGTTCTTACAACCACATGATCATGGCAGGTGAGGGCATACAAACCCAAGACCAGGAACCTGGGATTCAGGAAGCATGGCCCTTCCAACTTGCTTGCGCTGTGTTCTGGATGTTTATTTCTCCCCTCTTTCTCAATGCTTCTTCTCACTGAGTTCTAAACTGACTTCATTGACGTGACTTGAATATCTTCATTGGGCTCCAAGTCTTTCTGCCTTGTGTCCTGAAGCACACCATGCCTGTACTACACTCAAGAGACTATAACTGTATCCAACTGTTTCACATGCTTGTGGTATCTAGCAGGGTGCCCTGGCTTCAGCCCAAACAAGAACACCGGCTGCTCCGATTACTAAAAAAGTTCTTTCCAAAAGCAACAAGATGGTTGTAAGATTCTAGTGCTCTTTCTTACCTGTAAGAGGGTGCCATCTGCAAAGCCAAAGCCATCTTTTAATAAAGCTGTGATGTAACTGAGATCCATGCACAGGAAGGGACTGCCAGAGGTGAAGCTCTCCAAGTTATCACACACTGAAAGTGAGAGGGCAGACAGAGAGATGGAGGGTCTTCTCTGGCTGTACACAGGGCTTGAGTAAGCAAAAATGTCTCCATTTCATTGGTGAGTGGGCTTCCTGGAGTCTGGCTTATGTAGTGTATACCTCTGTATATTGTATACTTCTGTGTACTGTGTACTGTATACGCCTGTATACTGATGGCTTCTGCAAGACCACAGCTTCTTTAGAATCTGCGCATTTCCTGTATGAAATCATCTATTCTCTGGGCATGGTGGCAGTGGTCACCTTTAATCCCAGCACTCAGGAGGCAGAGGCAGGCAGATCTCTGAGTCCTAGGCCATCTGGGTTCCAGGACAGCCAGGGCTACACAGAGAAACCCTGTCTTGAAAAACCAAGAAAAAAAAAATCATCTATTCTTATTTATGTGCATTTTAGTTTATTTGCCAGTTATGGGTGTGGCAGGGTGAGCAGGGGGTGAGCAAGGGGTGAGCAGGCTCTGCTGGAAATCAAGCCCAGGGCCTTGCACATACTAGGAAAATTCTCCACACCTGAACTATACTCTCAGTACCCTGCTTTTCAAATGTCTGTGACAGACTGTGGCCACTTAATGCGAAGTCCCTAGTTGAGGCCTGGAGCACAGAGAAATATAATTTAACCCTCTCCTGTTGCCACTGGAAAAGATCATTTGTATTTTAGATTTATTCTCTCAAGGATGTCCCATGCATTCTGGTGCTCAGTTTTTTATTACTGCTGATAACCCTGCCTATTCCAATTTAAAGAGGGAAAGAGAGTGTGCCAGGCTGCGTATATAGCTAGTTCAGGTGTTAGAATGACTGTCTAGCATTCATGAGCCTGGAATCCTTCCCCACTATCACATAAATCAGTCACGGTGACTCATGCCTATAATCTTAGCACTTGAGAGGTGATCAGAATTCAAGGTTATCCTCAGCTACACTGCAAATGTGAGGCCATCCTGAGCTACATAAGACTTTGTCTCAAAAAAAAAAAATAAAATGAAAAACAAACAGATAATAGTAATGCAATAATTATAATAGGAATCCTAACTATTTCTCTGAAGTGTCTTAGATCCCCATATTCTTATTTGACAGTACCTAATGCATTTCCAGCAGACTGGAAGGCTCAGAAAGGAGCCAGTCCCAAGAGGGCCTGCACTGGCAGCCACACTTCATAGTCCAACTTCAAGAATTTCCTGAGGCCGGGCGGTGGTGGCACACGCCTTTAATCCCAGCACTTGGGAGGCAGAGGCAGGCGGATCTTTGTGAGTTCGAGGCCAGCCTGGTCTACAGAGCGAGATCCAGGAAAGGCGCAAGGCTGCACAGAGAAACCCTGTCTCAAAAAACCAAAAAAAAAAAAAAAAAAAAAAAAAAGAATTTCCTGACACTTACCTTCTCTGGCTTTTCTTTCAAAATCTTCAACTTTTAAAACACCGCCCTTTTCATAATCTAAAATGAAACAGAATAGCTAGTGCCGGAAGCTTCAAGGAAACAAGGGCATTTATCCCAGTGATACATAGTAACAAAAAACGAGAACTACATGGAATTTCCACCGTAAGACACTGATACATAAACATGATATCTGTACAAGACAAATCCACGCTGCCTATTTTATTTATTTACAATTAATGTATGACACCCATTTTACAGCATATATCTAACCACAATAAAAATGTAGGTTCATTTAAAAGTTTAGTAAATGGGGGAGGGGGCCTGGAGAGATGCTCAATGGTTAAGACCACTTACTGCTCTTGCAGAGGGCTCAGGTTCAGTTTCAGAACTCACATCAGGTGGCTCATAAGCACCTGTAACTCTAGTCCCAGAGGCTTTGATGCCCTCTGGCCTCTGCAGACACCTACATACGTGGTACTTATAAAGTCATGCAGGCACATACACATAGATTAAAAAATACAATAAGCAGGGCAGAAAATGATCTCTCGCTGGTCACGACAGATCATGTGTGTACTCACACCTAAACAAAAATACAACTTCTGTGATAAGAAAAAAAATTCCTAAAAGTACAGGAAATTGGAGTGATGGCTTTACTATCTTGAATGTGGGGAGTTTTCACAGGCACACACATGGCAAGGTTTGGCAAACTGTATGAAAGCAACATGTGCACTCATGTATGTCATTTTGTTACGATTTGGAGGAAATGTCTCCTATGGGCCCATGTGTTGAAGGCCTGGTCTCCAGACAGTGGAGTCCCAGTCACTGAGAGGTGAGTGGACCAGGGGCATGTGCCTTTATCAATGCATTAAGCTACAGATGTATTCATAAATGGATAGTGTAGTTGGGAGGTTAACGGAAACTTCTGGAGATGGGGCTTAGGTAGGGAATGGTCAACAGGAATGTGTTGTTGCTGGCTCTGTCTACATCCCATCCTCTACCTCTCCCTCCTTCCTGGCTGCCATGAGGTAAGCAACTTTGCTCCTCCAAGTCCTTCCACTGTTATTCTCTGCCTTACTGTGGCAGAAACAGGGAAGTTGCTGACCATGGCCTGAAGCCATGGTCCACAAGAAACCCTTACCCCTCTAAGGCATCGCTCAGGATACATAGGAAAACCTGCCTCAAACCAACAGGCTTTATGAACAGCCAGGTCACTTCCCACTTTCCAAAGACCCCAAAGGTATATTCACCTTTCCATTCTAGTGGCTAGTATAACACTACTGGAAAGCTGAAAATCACTCCAACCAACACAGCCTTCGATGCTCCTGCCCTTCCCCATGGTCCCTTCTCTTCCTTCTGGCCTGACACCAGGCGTGAACTCACCAATCAAGTGCGTATCGACAGCCCGGTCATAGTAGTAGGAAAAAGCATAGAAGGAGCTTCCGCGAACCTCTTCCGGCTGGTGAAGTTTTCCTTGCACGACCCTCAGCACTTCTGCGTAGCAGGGCTCAAAGCCCATCTCCCCTGTCCGGGCAAACGTGTATATACATCACTGGAGAATAAGGATGTGGCAAGAGTCACTGCCTGTGGCAAGCTGGTGGAGTCAGTGGGAGAAGAGCAAGACAATCAAGGCGGCTGAATGTTAGCCCTTGAGCAGCGTAGCTATGGCCGAGGTTTAGGCTTGAGACCTTCACGCAAGGAAGAGGAAGAGCTCTTGAAAGAGCTGGGCCATCTGAAGGCGGGGCTGACCCGACTGCTACAGTGACGGGGTTACAGGGTTCAGGCTATTCAAGATACGCATTGTCCACAGACGCGCGGGCTGGACCCTCTGCATCACCACGTCCAGAGAGAGAAGGGCAACATGTAAAAGGCCCGACCGGCACTCCAGGAAGACTGCAGCCCGGGACTGCTGGCTCACTAATCTGAGAAAGTGCAGAAAGCAGAGCACCAGAAACAGCTGCACCTCTGTGCACGTATGTAGCTGAGGTCTGGAACCACAGCAGCAACACCACAATACCTGGGCCTGAAAACAGGACCCAGTGAAGAGCACTGGCTGCTGTTTACAAATGTTATTATTTTGTCAGGTGGTGGTGCACGCCTTTAATCCCAGCACTCAGGAGACAGAGCCAGATGGGCCTCTGAGTTCGAGGGCAGCCTGGTCTATAGAGCAAGTTCCAGGTCAGGCTCCAAAGCTACACAAAGAAATCCTGTCTCAAACATCTGTGCACTACATATTATCTGGTGCCTTCAGAGTCCAGAAGAGGCATTGGATCCTCTGGAACTGGAGTTTCAGACAGTTGTGAGCCACCATGTGGGTGCTGGGAATTGAACCCAGGCCCTCTGAAAGAGCAGCAAGTATTCTTAACCACTGAGCCACTTTTCCAACCCCACTTCCTGCTCTTGAAGAGGACCTGGGTTCAGATCCCAGCAACCATGGGAAGGCTCACAAGGGTCTGTACCTCCAGTCCTAGGGGACCGACTCCCTCTTCTGACCTCCATGGGTAGGAGGCACACATATAGCACACAGACAAACATGTAGGCAAAATACATCCATACACATAAAAAAAAATCAATAAATCTTAAAAACAACAAAAACATAAAATTAAACAAAGAAAACAAAAAGGTGGCTGGGTCTGAGAAGTCTTAAAAACGATGTGTAACCTTCTTCAACCTCACTGCTGGGGTCCAGGGCAGCTCCTCTCCTTTACCTGTGTTTACCAAAACCAGCCACAGTCACCATGCTTCTGCCTACCATGCTTCACGGTCTTTGTGAGCAATTATTCAGAAAGCTTGTTTCCTTCTCGGGAGAACAAAATTTCCCCTTGATTTTAATGAATCTAAAATGAGTGATTCTTATCTCAATTTTAAGTTTTACTCTAACTGAAATCATTAAACACACACTGGACCTGAAACAGGGATTCACGCCGCTGCACTAGACGGGTTACAACAGGTCTCTAGTACACCACAGGACTCAGAAGAGGATGCAGAGCGGCTGCTGCCTTGCTTGCTGGCCTCTGAACATGCCAAAAGTAGGTGCTTTCAATGTGGTGAGTCTCTCTTGGGCTCTGGAACTGCTTCCTAAAGACTTGCCAGAACATGGACTCTGAAGGTCATTTTAACCAGTGAGGAAACACCATTTACCTTCTTGGTTGCCACCATACTGGTATTTCACACCCCCAAAGATCCACTCCGCTTCCAACCATCTTGGTAAACAGGCACTTCGAAAGGTCCGTCCGTCGGTGCCTGAAAGAAGCGCAACCCAAGAAGGTAAGCGTGGGAGAGGGAAGGCGGGAGCAAGAAGCAGGAGGCCGAAAGGAATCCTCAAGGGGACTGGGCCTTCCTTCGGATCTCATCAAGCTAGTTCCTTAGCTGTATCCTTGATAGGGGTTCTTCACAGGCTTTGTGGTAGTGCTGAACCCTCTAACACTAGAGGCTGATTTTCATACCATAGTCAAGTAAGTTCCTTCCTTTAATGGAGGAAGACTCCTCCACTGGTAGTTGAGGTCAAATGAAATGTCACTGAAGACACCTGGCACTCTGAAATGCTGTGTACTCCTCACTCCAGTCCTAGCTTAGGCGAGCATGGCGCTGTCTGGAGTGCACTAGACACAAAGTCGTGTTTTAGGTGAAGGCTGGGGCACAGGAAGGCCAATGATTTGTTCCCATCCAGAACTGGGATTGCAGCCAATGCTGCCAGTGCCCAGCTGTGAAGACAAAGAGGGAACTGCTCAGTCATTCCACTTGGCAAACTGGACGGATCTTATTTCCTGACAAAGGCTTGTGCAGGTTCCGACCAAACACTGTGGAGGCTTCAGCCTTGCAGCCACAGGTCCTGTGCCAGCAGCCCTCACTCTCGAGGTGATGAATACACACCACAGCACCAGCCGTTTCCTGTCTGTGATACAACACACGCTTCCCAAGTCAACATGACCCTTGCTCCATAAAATGAATGCCAAGGGAGGGACGAGGCGAGCTGCACTGTCTCCCACCACGAACTGGTACTCAGACAAACCTTCTGTGTCCAGGGCTCCCAGGGTTGCCAGTCTTGCAGCTTTCAATCCAAATCCCAGGTAACTGTAAAATACAGGATTGACCGATTCCAGGCTGTCCTGGATGTTTTCACCCACTCTACCTTTTTCAAATGTGACATAGTTTCTCTGACTCCCTTTGGAAAGATAGAAACTTTGTTCTATCTCTTGGTCATATTATTCACTTGACCAATAAAGAAAGACTTCTGTAGTCTGGACCAAGGATATGCAGTAAACTGCTCTTAAGTGTGATGCCGAAGAATAGGATTGTTCCTGGTAGTCCAGCCTGAGAACCAGCCCCAGAAAAGGTTCTCATTCTTTCAGCTCTTATCACTCCCAGACTAGTCTCTGAACACCTGGAGCCCAGATCACATGAGTTCGTATGGAGCTCTGGCTGAGTTTTGAGCCTTCTCCACATGCTCTCATCTAAAGAAAAACTGACTTTTACATCACATTCTTTTGAGACCCCAAACAGGTTGCCTCCTGAGTTTTTCAAGTTTGGTGTATTGCTTAGGTTTCAGTAGACAGGGCTTACAGGACTGGCAGAGACTTTCTGAGGCTGATAAGATACAGTAACAAATACGAAAATGCCCTGAAAAGTTAGGAAAAGTAATACAATGTGAACTATTATTCTTCCCTACCCCCTCCTCACCTATGTGTATAGAGCTTAAAAGTGCTGTTAAACATCTCAAAGGAAGTGAGGTAGCCCCTAGGCGTTTGTTCCAGGGTTTTCTGCAAATCAGAAAAAGCAAAGAGACTTCAGCATCTGCAATTATATGAAGATTTTAGTACCACTATCCACAACCCTCTCCCCAAATCAAAGCTGGGGAAGATTACATTGCAAGTCTCCCAAGGCTTGAGGAGCCAGAAACTTCTCTAGTCATTAACTGACTACTTAGCCTAGTCACTGGAGAGCTGATGTCTCAAAACAGGATGCTGCTTTCTTAGCACCATGATGCTTTCTAAGTGTGTTGCCAACATGGCCTTAATAAAATGACTCACCGCAAACTGGGGTAGAAACGTGATTTGGGTGGAGGCACCCCCCAGGTCAAGGGTCCCCATAGTCTCCTGGCCATGGCCATGCAGTTGACCTGTTAATGACAGCAAGGTATGAATGAGTACCCAGGCCATCCAGACACTCTCTGCAGGTTCTCCCCTGCTTTTATTATTGTACACCAAGGGTATTTTGTGACATTTACTGCTGGCTCCCTGAGCCCAGAGGCTGCAGGCTAATGTAAACACAGAGGGCCTCCTGCTGCAGCTGAAGCCTTGAAAGCAGATTATAAAATTAGCTTATCTCCCAACCCTCTTCTTTTTTGATTTTGTTTTTTTGAGACAGGGTTTCTCTGTGTAGCTTTGGAGCCAGTTCCGGAACTCACTCTGTAGACCAGGCTGGCCTCACAGATTTCCAGCTACCTCTGCCTGCTGAGTGCTGGGATTAAAGGCGTGAGCCACCACCACCTGGCTCCCTCTTTTTTAAAAAAGAGGTTTTTTTCTATTTTAATTATGTGTATGTGTGGGTAAATACACATAAGTGTGGCTGTCCAGAGGCTAGAGTCCTAGAGCTGAAATTACAGGCAGCTGTAAGCCACCCAAGGGTCTTTGGAAAGAACAGTAAATGCTTTTAACTGCTGAGCCATTTCTCCAAAACAAAAAAAGCCTCTTCTTTTAAAGAAAGAACAGTACAGGAAGAGAGAAGCGGATTTTACCCTCTTGGTAAAAACAAACAAACAAACAAAAACTGTAAAAGCCAGTTAAGGTTCTAAGAGAAACTTCAGGATCTACTTAGTTTACCTGTTAGGAAGTTCACAGTAACCCACGCTAAGATGCCTAAAGGAGAGAAAAGCAAAGATTACGTTCCAGATCATCTCCCCTCTATTCCTTCTCTAGACTTCATGTCTAGAGCACTGTCTCCCACCCTATCCCTCCATGTTTACTTAGCTCCTCTTTCTTTCATGCTGGACCCTTCTTCCCAGACCCCTGAACTGGATCATTCATTGATTCCACCCCCTCTCACCCAAGTACATATTTCGTCCTCTGTCCTACCTTCATAGGACCCATCCATGATGCTAACGCTGTCATCTGGGACCAGGAAAGGTGACTTCTTGAAGATCTCCTCTACCTAGGGAAAAAGTGCAAAAATCTGGATTCTGTGAATCAGTAAAACGAATGATCACCAATGATCCCAGTGGCTGTGTTCTCTAAGTTAGAAAACAGCCCTCGCTCTCTTCCCTAGATAAAACAACAGCAGCATTGACCCCCTTCCCTGGGAAGCCGGAGAAGGAACCAGGCAAAAACACAAGCACATGGATTCCTTAAGAAACCCATCTAACTTTACTATCAGCTGCACCTGGGGAAGAACGTATATTTGACCCTTCCAACTCAAATCAAGAGCCTGTACCTTTGTTAGCCCTGACTAGCTCTACCTGGACATGCAGTGAACACTGCTAAGCCTAAAAGGAGCTAAGGCACTCACTTCTGCTGGATTTTGGTGCACAGCTAGGGCCTATAGAGACTTAGGGAGACCTCAGGCCTGGCCTTATGGAGTCCTATTTTAGGAGGTGTGAATGAAGACCTTACACAAATGCTTCTGATTCTCCATAAATACAGGCCACTGATGCATGCATTATGGCCTTAAAATGATTTTAAATTACATTGATGGATTTTTATATGTGAGTGTGCACATATGTGTGCATTCATGTGGGCCTGTGCATGCGATAGCACATGTCTGGACGGTAGAAGAAAACTTCCAAGGGTCAGTCCGATCCTTCTACTATGTGAGTCCTAAAGATAAAACTCAGATTACCGCCTGGTGGTGGTGGTGGTGGTGGTGATGGTGATGATGCACACCTTTGATCCCAGCACTTGGGAGGCAGAGCCAGGTGGATCTCTGTGAGTTCAAGGCCAGCCTGGTCTACAGAGGGAGTTCCAGGACAGGCACCAAAACTACACAGAGAAACCCTGTTTCAAAAAACTAAAACAACAACAACAACAAAAAAGCCTCGGGTTAAGCTTGGTGGCAAGCAC